CCATCCACTGCTATACGCCTGATTGTGGCCACGCTTGACAGACCCACTCCGTTAGGTGTTGCCTTTGGTACTACCGTTTGCGATCGTGTTCCTATCTTCCGGTTATTCTTTCAGACCCGATCCAACAGAAAGAAAGAAAAAAAAGAAAAGAAAAGAAAAGGGAAAGCAGACCACACTCGGAAGAATAACACGCTCCCTCGATGAAATTACCTCTTTTACTCTGACTATCGAAACTGTCTGTTTCTTTTAGCGAGAAAGTTTGTTCACACAGTCCCGTTTATTAGGTACTCTCGCTGATCAAAAAGCAAAGTTGGGCAGAGAAGTTCCTTGGTAATTGTTTGGTAATTGTTTATAAGTTTTCTGCTACCAAGGAATTAACAAACTATGTGAAGTTTGTTATATTCACATTCCGCGAAATTTTTGAGATATTTGTAACAGTGTTATGAAAAAAAAGTTGTATCGCGTGTATGACATATATATGACGACAATTTCATTGATATTTCTTTTGTGGTATTGGTGTAACTTCTAATACCTATAGTATGTTTCAAATAATGTATGTCAATTACGTTATATATTGTGAAAATTTTCCTTAGAAAAAGCCTATTAGAACAATTAAATTCGAATTCGAGTATTATTTCTAACCGGCAAAAAATATATAAACTGTCTGCAGTTTGGACCAATACTATCAAGTAGATATCCTTAAACGTTTTGCTCGGGAAGCAATTACGGAATTAATATCTCTAACTGGAAACTCCCCCAACTCCTGATAGAATGAAGTAAACTTGAAAATTTAATACGCAATTTAGCAGAAGATTAGCAAATATTACAGTATATTTTCCGTCGTTCCAATTTAAACCTTACTGCAAAAGTGAGTATTTATTTTTTATCAATTTCTCATCGATGTGACATTTTATTTAACTCAATAAATGATAACACAATTATTAATTCTTTAATATCCAGTTGCGTAGATGTACTTTTTGGATGTGGATTAATTTAAGTTCAACATATAACAGAGCATTTAAATTTTTCCCGTGTAATTTAACAAACAAAAGATTACACTACGCCCTGTCGTCACGAATGAAAATTAATTTTTATCGATTTTTGCTGCGCTGACAGAAATGCTCGCAGCATCCTCCTAGCTAGAATACGTGACCCAATGTGTCGAATCAGGCTTAGAACAATTCTCTCCTTTATTAAGTTAACTCTGCATGCACGCAATCCATCCATTTTATATATTTCACGTAAGCTTCTTTGTTCGTGTATCTCTATAAGTAATTGTAATGTATTTAAGAATTCAATTTAAGAATTCAAGAAGTTGGATTAATGACAATGACGAACAATTCCCAGTGATTATGCGGCAACGGCACGAATTACATGCAATGAGAATCAGTTTAATGAAACAGTTTAACTCGGAATTCATTGAATACATTAGCTAGAAAGAAACACCGGTCGAGTCACAGCCATTAAATTTCTTTCTCTCTTTTCTTTTATGTCAGTAAACATTTAAAGAAGCAAATCAATCAGTTTCCTTGAATGAATCTTTAGAATCTACTTTTCTCGTACTTGTGAATTACTTTAAAACTCTCACAGCACAGAATTAAAGATCGCGAAGACGTGACA